CAAAAGATTTCATTTTATTTATTCTTTCTCTGAGCTCTTCCTTTCTTTGTGGAGATCTGAGTTTGTGACCTATATTATTTTCCTTCTCCCTGAAGAACTTCTTTTAACATTTCTTGCAGGGCAGGTCTCTGGGTAATGAATTTTCTGTTTTTTTTTTTTTTTTAAATCTGGGAAAGTCTCTATTTCTCCTTCAGTGCTGAAGGGTAATTTTTTTGGATATAGAATACTAGGTTGATATTTTTTGTCTTTCAACACTTTGTAAATATTTCATTCCACTTTCTTCTTGCTTGCAGGGTTTCTGATCAACAATCTTCTTTAATTCTTATCCTTATTCCTCTGAAAGGTATTCCTTGCCCCCCACCTCAGCTTCTTTCAAGATTTTCTCTTTGTGTTTGGTTTTCTGCAATTTGAATAAGATATGCCCAGATGCATTTTTTTTTTTCTTTTTGGCATTTATCTTGCCTTAATGTTCTCTGAGCTGCCTAGATCTATGGTTTGGTGTCTGTCATTAAGTTTGGAAAGTTCTCAGCCATTATTTCTTCAAATAGTCTGCCCCATTCTCTCTTTTTTCTTCTTCTGGTACTTCCATTAGGAAGTATATGCTATATCTTATGAAATTGTCCCACAGTTCTTGTATTTTTTTTCCATTCCTTTCTCTCTTTGCATTTTAGTTTAGGAGTTCTATTGACCTATCTTCATGCTCACTGATTCCTCCTTGGACGTGTTCAGTCTGCTGATGAGCCCATCAAAGGCATTCTTCATGTCTGTTACAATATTTGTAGCTTTGTATTTGTTGCATTTCTTTTTTTGGTTGTATTTTATTTTTTAATAAAAATAGTATATATTTAAAGTATATGGCATGAGGATTTGACACACATATACATAGTGTAATTATTCTTGCAGTCAAACTAATTAACATGTCATCTCTTCACGCAGTTACCATTTTGTGTATGTATGATGAGAGCTCTTGAAATCTACTCTCTTAACAAGTTTCCAGTATTTAATACAGTACTAACTATAGTCATCAGGCTGGACATTTGATCTCTAGACATTCATCCTACATAACAGCAACTGTGTACCCTTTGACCAACACATCCCCAGGTCCCCCACCTCCCTGCCCCTGGTAACTCCTGTTCTAGTCTGTGCTTCTATGTGTTTGACTATTTTGGATTCCACACATAAGAGAGACCATGTGGCGTTTCTTTTTGATTCTTAGAGTCTCCCTGTCTCTGCTCACCTTACTCATATGCTCTTTCATGTTGTTAACTTTTTCTAGTAGAACACTTAACATATTAACCATAGCTATTATAAATTCCTTCTCTGATAATTCCAACATCTGGGTTATATCTAAGTCCAGTTCTTATGCATGCTTTTTCTCTCCAGACTGTGCTTTTTCTTGCCCTTTGGCATGCCTCATAAATTTTGTTGAAAGCCAAGCATAATATATCAAGTAATAGGTATGAAGTAAACAGATCTTTGGTGTGGGGTTTTATGTTAATCTGGCTAGGTGTTGGTGGGCTGTGTCAATGTCTATTGTAGCTGTAGGTGCCAGAGGCTTCATGTTTCTTAGTGTTCCTGCTTTTGTCTCCCCTCTGGACTTTTAGCTTTCCTGACTACTCTTTCTGAGAGAGTGTCGACATCTTGTAGCTTTCAGCTGTAACCCACTTTTATTATGCTGGAGACCTGTGGTGTGATAATAAGATGTGGGTGAGGGGAAGCTTTCAATGATCTTATGATTAAACCTGAGTCATTTAGTGGGTCTGTGTCTCTGGTTGTGACCATCACAAGTGTTTCTTAGCTTTTTCGCTCCTAGTTAGGTGTATTGTACCTTGAAATCTCTTGTATTTCAAATGAAATTCAAATTTCAATTCAATTCAGTTTCAAATGAAGTTAGCAACAGATGGAAGACCTGTGCTGCAAAATAAGAGACAGAGTTGCCTGCACATTAAAAGGACTTGCAAAACTTGAATATTGGGAAGAAAGTTTTCTTTCTTTTGGTCAGGAAGATTGTCCCTGAGCTAACATCTGTGCCAATCTTCCTCTATTTTATATGTGGGACACCACCACTGCATGGCTCGATGAGCAGTGTGTAGGTCAGCACCCAGGATCTGAACCTGTGAACCCTGGGCCGCTGAAGTGGAGCATGTGAGCTTAACCACTATGCCATGGGGATGGCCCCAAGGGAAGAATTTTTTAACAAACACAGTACCAAAAAACAAGTGCCTCAGTAGTTGGGAAAAGCTGGGTCTTTACGTGAGTGAGTGAGCATCTGGAGAGGTAGCCTGTGGGAACAATTAGAATGTGGGCTTTTGTGGGAGCTAATCTCAGTCACTGGGCCATGGGCAAAGGACTCATCCTAATATGTCCTTTCTTCGGTACGTTGGAAGGGATCTTGATAGCATTTCCTATGGGCTAAGGCATGGACAGGAGGGTAGTACCTGATTGGTGGTCAGTGCCCACTATTTGTCAGCTGTTATTGTGGACATTTGCATCCTTCCCTTCAGTTCATGGTAATCACATGTTTCCTCTGGCCCCACTGAAATTATTGCCTAGTAGAAAAACAAAACCCCCTCAAAATTCTAAGACCTGGATCCCAATCCTAGCTTCTCTAATTCTTGACTAGTGGTGTGGACAAGATGCTCTGACATCAGTTTCCTTTTCAGTAAAATGAGGACGTCAAAGAGTTGCTGTTAGGCTCAAGAGGGGTTACTGGTATGAAAAGAAATAAACTGTAAAGGATTATACATGTTTTAAAATGGTATAGAATGCTGGTTTCTGAAATGAAGACTGTCCACAGAGAGATAATACTCTGAGGAGAAAGACAACTTTGACTTCATGGCTCTAGCATGTTTGTGATTGTTTGGACTAAATAAAATTTATAACACTACCTGAAATCTCTGATGAGTGCGTTAGACAAGCTTTGATAATTATCCCCCATATATAATATGATATATATCATATGTATAATATACCTATTATATTGCAAATACAAAGTTACTTATTTGCTCTTCTGATAAGCAATGAAATCTCTGACGCAGAGGTAGTGACATTCAGCCTCCTGGAGGTATTTAAACAGAAGTGGATGATGAGGCTGGTGGGGGTCAGCATTGGATAATCTGTAAGGTCTCTTTCAACCCATAACTTCTAGGATGTGAAGGTGTATAAGGTGCCTTCAGGCCTTCCATTCTGTTCTTGATAGTTGAACAGCAGAATGAGGGCAACCCAATGCCATTGGTTCAAGTGTCCCAGAGCTCCTGTTTTGAAAGATTCTAGATGTTTCCCTGCATTTGAGAAAGCCTGAAAAATTTGTCTGCCATTTTAAATTCTGGGCTATAAGATGAAATGGGGCAGTCAATTAAAATGAAAACAAAAGCTCAATCTTCCTAAAGTGTTGGAGGTAGACAAAAGTTCTAGAACTCTAAAATCTGCTTATACACAGAGCTTGCAAATGCATTTCCACACTTCCAAGAGGAATATTTATAAAATCATGTTCTAAGATGAAGATGGTGTAAAATGAGGTAAATGAAATTGTGACTTTCATAAGGCTGGCCATAGGCCAAAGATGCAAACTGGTGGCCTTTGGTGATTCAGAGAGCAGATGTGTTTTGTTTAGTTCACACTGTATTAAAAAAAGTTAGGTGAGTTACTAACATTTAAAAATCAGAAGATTTTACAAATATAAAAATACATATTTTTGCTTCTCCTGAAAATCCAGAAAAATCTGTCCTCACTGGGCCCACATTCCCTCATGGCAAGAAAATACAAGATCTGAGAAGTGGTTGGCCCCTGTTGATGGGACATTTACTCCCATGGTACCCCTACTTTGCCCCTTTTCTCATTTCTATTATCTGCAGGGTCCTGGAGACATTTACTTTGCTTTCCTCTTCTACAGACAAGGCTGTGGTTTAGGAGGAGGTTGTGGTTATTTGGTACCTAACATGATCAGCATCCTCTTTGCCACTTGACTACACCTTGAGCACAGGGAATATGAGTCTTATTAAGAGTTGTTTCATCCTGGCACAGTTTCCGCCACATAGTAGAACTCAGGAAACCAACACCCTTCCTCCTCCCACTCCACATCTTCCCACCTCCTGATGTTTCTTCTTTTCCATGCCCCAAATCTGAACAATTTTTGGAGGGTGAAACGTGCTGTTAATAATGATTTTAAAACAACATGTGCATGTTGAAACTATCGTGGGTATATTAGTTTCTTAGGACTGCTGTTAACAAGGAACCACAAACTGGAGGGCTTAAGGTAAACTATTTTTTCACAGTTCTGGTGGCCAGAAGTCAGAAATGCAGGCATTAGCAAGACTGGCACCTTCTGGGGGTTCTGAGGGACAATCCATTCCATGCCTTTCTTTCAGCTTCCAGTGGTTGCTGTAATCCTTGGCATACCTTGGTTTGTAGATACATCACTCCAATCTCTGCCTTTGTCAGCACATGGCCTTCTTCCTGTGTATCTGTGTTTGTTTTTCCTTCTTATAAGGACACTAGTCCTATTGGATTAAGGCCTCACCCTAACAACCTCATCTTAACTTGACTGTATCTGCAAAGACCGTATTTCCAAATAAGGTCACATTCACAGGTGGAGAGGGCTAAGACTTCAACATATCTTCTTGGGGCATGCAATTCAACCCTAAGCCTCAAATTAGCTTTCTGACTTGCAAAATGGAGATAATAATAGTATCTATTCGATACAGTTCTTGTGAGAACTACACGACCAGCACATCCAGGCCCTCACACAGTGCCTGAAACATAGCCTGAACTCAACAAAAGCACTTTCGCCCTTTACCTCTTCTTCTATGTCTTTTTCCTCCTCTACATCTCCCATTCAGGCACCCAGATCCTTGGCTTCTTCGTCATTTCTCTTTGCTCAGGATAGAAATATGAAACAAACAAAAAAATTCATATATTTCCCGATTTCATCCTTCTCGCTATTAGTTTAATAGGGGATTCTGAAGTGCATTCTTTCAAACTGATGTGTTTACCTTTTACAGTATTTCAGACTCCAATGGCATGTAAAAGACCGCTTTGTACTCGTCAGTGCCTTATCCCCAGATCTCCTGCTGTAAGTATAGCTTCTTTCGAAGAAGATAGCTACGGAGAAGCTGGTCCCTTCCCAACACCATCCAGTGAATGGGACGAGACCCCATTGATCTTCACTGTCAGACAAGAAATTAATAAGAGAGCTAGAGAAGCACCCAAGCAAGCCTGGAGCAGTCTAGTTTTGGAACAGCAAATGGCAGGAAGGCCTAGCCCATTCTGTTCAGTAAATCCTCTGCACCTGGAGGCTGCAGGCACACACATCAAAAGACACGCGAGGCCTCAGAACCAGCCCTCTCACAATTCCAAGGCAGATTCTGTCTCGCCTGGTAAGTATCATTTTGTATTTCCTAACTCTTTTTTTTCTCTTTTCAGTTGGTCACATTTTGTTTTTAACTTCAATATGAACAGCAAAGTTATTGACTCAATGACAGGTCCTATTCTAGAAGGTTCTATAAGAACTATATCAGTGAGTGCTTAGCGGAAGTCTACTTGTGGCCAAGTATTGTATTAGAGGAGAGAACAAGTGTGAGTTGATGACAAGTAATTTGATGCTTCAGGTATTGCACCAGATAATAATGATAACGACAATTATCATTATCATCATCATTCCAGCTCCCACTTATTAAGCTCTCACCATGTGCCAGATACTATGCTGAGCTTTTTACATTATTTTATGAAATCCTCATATAACACCCTGAGGCAGATAATGTTATTATCCCTATTTTACAGATAAGGAAGCTGTGAATTCATAGCACAGGATAATGTATATGATAATGAAATGTCTCAAAATCACATAATAGGAGGAGTGATTAAAAGTAAGGAGATGGACCAGAAGGAATAAGCTTTGAAACCAAGGAGAGCTGGGCTCAAATCTCTGCTCTCTCCCATTTCAGCTTTGTAGCCATGATCAAGTCTTAGAAAGGTTCTTTGAGCCCAGTCTTTTAACCTGTAAACTACTGACGATTACTACCTTGAAGAGATGTTGTAATTAGAGGATTGGTATAAATAAAGTTCCCTGAACATAGCAGGGACTGAATGGCAGCGGTGATGATGGTGGTGGTGTTTATGGTGCTGGAGGTGACAAAATTTAAGGAAACAATGCATATTCCAAATATTCTAGGAATTGTCACATAGAAGAAGGATTAGGTTGATTTTGTGCAGCTTTTTTTAGGGCACTTTTTTGGTAGATTTCACTCTAAATGTTTGTACAGTTGTTGGAATCGACCAATAGAAGGGACAGGTTTTGACTCAATACAAAGGAGAACTTTCTTTGAACTAGAGGAGAATATACTGCTTGGGCTAGAAGTGCCTAAAGCTGGGGCTGGGAGACCATTTAACAAAGATGCTGATTCAGAGACTCCTTCACTTCTGGGAGGCAGGATTTGATGACAGGATGCTGAGTATACTGGTTGGTTAACATTGTTTGAGTCTTATGTAAAAGGCAGTGTGCTAAAATCTGAACATACATCTTCAATTTTGGTCCATATGGCCACCCTCCGAGATAGGAACTGTTGTTTTCCCATGGTTTAGATGCAGACTCTGAGGCCCACAGAGATTCTGTAACTTCAGGGCTGGAGCCCGGATTCCAGTCTGCATTCTGACTCCAGGTCAGAGCACTCCTATATTAAGATTCGAAATATGACAATGAGAGCTCTCGGATGCTGAGCACTTACTATGTACCAGATACTTTACATTTTATCATGTTCTGCCCTCAGATACTTAACTGGTTTGCTTTTTCACTTCCTTCAGGTCTTTACTGAAATGTTCCCTACATGGGTGGGTCATTCCTAACCTCCTTCCTGCTTTATTTTTCTCCTTAGGATTTATTACCCACTAACACTTATACATTTCTTTATTTGCTTATCTATTAGTCTGCTCCCCCTCCCCGCTCCACCTTCGCACAACTAGACCGTAAGCTCTATATGGGCAGGACAATTGCCTGCCTTATTCCTTTCTAAATCTCCAATGTCTAGAACACTGCCAGGCACATAACAGACATTCAGATATTAATGAATGAATAAATGAATGAACAGACTTTCCCACTGGCAATCCTGTAAAGTAGGCAATGCAATCCTCAAGTTTCAGGTAAGGACAAAGAGGCTTAGGCCAGGATTTAAGTCTATGACGGTCTGAACCCAAAGCTTTGTTTATTCCAGTACATCACACTAAACCTCTAAGGCAGTTTGTTACAAAATGCATCATTATTGAATTGCATGCAGGAAAGGAATTTCTTATTCTTTGGCTCAAGACAGAGGACAGCATATTCTGTGTAGGTCAAACTCTGTTGCTCCAAATTCCACAGCCACATCGCATTCACTGGTGGAATCTTCATGCACTGATCATCGATGAATGGGTCATCTGCGAAAGCTGGAAATGCAAATCAACAGTCATTAAGCTTCTAGTTTTCACAAAGCAATGTGTTTGGCTCTCTGAAAGCTTTTATTTACCTGGAGATATTGAAATGCCATTCCACCTTTATTTCCAGAAAATAATTCTCACTTTGGAAAAGTTGGTTTCACTAGATGTTTTTCACTGTTTGACTTGGGTGTGTTGAGCGTGTAGTGGGAGATGCTTGATGTATACTATACGTAGAACAATATGTGAGGCACTAAATTGGGTCACCCAGTGACAGAGTGGCTGTGTCACACACACCGTTAGGAAGGTAAAGTGCATTTTAAATCTTTTACATATTTTTTGAATTTGCGAATGATCCTGTTTGTTGTTCCAAATATTCTAGACATCTACATGCTATTCAAAGCCCTTTAAAAACTTGTAGAAAGTGATTTAAACCATGTAAATTGTCCTAACACACTACTGAAGAATTAAACTTTTATTGGTATAGTCAATGCGCAGAATTTCTTAGGTAAAAACTTCAAGATTCTATGTATATGATATATATATATATATATATATATATACACATACATTATATATATGTATATATATATTTGGAAATGCAGCAAAAAAGTATAAAATACTTTAATAGTATTGGCTGTATTGTAAAAAAAAATACGTCATTTTTTATATGAAAAAATGATTTGGTTGGGCAAAAATAGAAAAAAAATCAGATCCATTTTAGTGTCTATGTATGTGTTGTGTAGACCCAGGATTAATTCACTGATGGTTTTAATTTTCAGCTGGTTTGAAATTTCTAAAGAAACTCATGAAATAGTTGCCTCTTGGATTTTTAAGTTATCTGTTGTAAATCTAAATGGGCTGGGAGTCCGGGTTTTGCTTTTTTTTTTTTTGGCTGCATGATATCTAACTCTGCCATTCACAAACTTTTCCCAAATTTAGAATTCGAGGCCCTATTTTAGAAGTTTTAAACAGTTGTCCTTGAAATTAGAAGTTTTATGAGTATTCCGTAAAAATTATTTTGGGGGGAAGGTGCTTTCAAACAACAGGAAAGGAATAGTGTCTTTTCTTAAAGAAACGTGGGGACGCTTGAGGATAATATCAGGGGACTTTTAAATCTTTCTCTTAGCACGTTACAAACGTTGATGTCTCAAACACCCAGTTATGAGGGGAAATTTTTTTTGAAAGTTTTACCAGCGGGGCGGGTCAATTCTTCGAGCCTCAGTGCCACTCCTGCCCTTTGCCTTCCAGGTCCCGCTCCGAGGCCTTACACTGCCATCGGCCTCAGCAGAAGAAGCCAGACCCCACTGGCTCCGTGGAGGGTCTCCTGGAGTTCCTCAGAGCCCGAGCTGGAGGAAAAGAGGACAGCCACAGTTGGCGCTCTGGCAAACCCAGATGTCCAAAGTCGGCCCCAAGGCGCGACCGGAAGTCTAGTTGTAAGAGGAGCAGTTGCCATGGCATCAGAGATGCTCCCCAAGCATCCTCATCCCCCGGGGAAAAGGGAGCCCAGGGCAGACGCCTCCCTCCACGGCAATCTGGCAGGAGCGCCCCTTCCTCGGTTTGCCGGTGCTCCCACCCATCTCCCCTCAAAGAGGTTAATCAAGGTTTGCTCTGCTCCCCCCTCCCGCCCACCCCGGGGCTTCCATACGGTTTGTTCACAGGCCCCTCCTAGGCCGAGGGTGAATGCTCACTTACATTGACCGCTGCGAGGGAATTGTTCCGCGAGCGCTGCCCATCTTCAAATCAATGCCTGCCCAGAACAACAGAAAGGGCCTCAGATGTACTGGTTTCCACAGAACTATTGTTAGGCTTTTGTGAAGCAGTTTTGAACCTAATAAATAATGTCAAAAGTCTCTATCGCAGCCAAAAATGTTCCTTTTGAAGCATTTCTAATAGTATTTTTGTTCTGCGGTGTCCCCCAGTGTCACAAAGAATTTGTGCCTCACAATGGGGATGGGGTACATCGCGTGCCACTTTGCAATGTGCCTGCGGGGATGGCCAGGCCTCCCCTTTGTTTTGCTCTCGCAGGTAAACGGTTTCACTTGTCAACTTGGGCTTTGGTTTAAGGATGTTTTCTAAGGGCCTTTTGAATTTCTAAACAGAGGTTTGGAGAACGTAAATGAATGTCTGTAATTTAATAGTTAACATGAAATTTGACTACTCCCGATGTGCCGAGGGGAATTCTTCAGGCTATGTTAAGGTTTGTATGTCAGAAACCTGAAGCTGGATCCTCCTTTGAGGCCCTGAAACACACAGAACTAAGTTTAATGCAAAAGAGATACTAAATTTTCTGGTTTGCAATAGAAAACAGCAGAGAAGCTTAGGGAAAATTGTACCAAACTTATCATTTTTGACACTGTTTTTTATTTTGGTTATTTTAAGTTAAATATAGCAGCCTTTCACCATGATGTAATACAGGGACTAACTTTATCAAATGATTTTATGGGTTTAGTTGTTTTTTTAAATAGAGTATTTTTTTTCAACATTGAGAGAGAAACACAAATCAGTGTGATCAATACATCCATATGCAATTTTGCACTCAAGTTCTTTGTAATTTCCCCACAATCTTGAATTCATAGAGTTTGATACATGGAGTTTGTAAAATCCTACTGCATTTTTCCCCCTTCAATTGAAATTAATATATATAGTATGCCTACATTCAAGACTTCTCATCAAGTCTTAAGTCCAAATTTAAGTCTTAAAGTTTCGATAACAATGAAATGTTATAACCAGCAACTGCTTAACATGTAGGAGCAGTTAGACTTAGCAGTTAAACTTAACATGTGTAGTCCTTTGAGAACTATTAACTTCTTCGAATATTAACATTCCCAAGGAATAATGTACTTTAAAGAAAAAAAGGTATCCCTAAACTTTTAGGGCTTTCCTTGTTCCAGATTAATATTTTATAACAAATATTCTTTTATTTTTATTATGTGTTTATTAACATGATTTTATGATAAGAGAGTGTAGAGGTTATCAATGGCAGTTGCCATGGTTTCCTGAGGGTATAATGGCGTTTGCTCACCAGCGTTCGTATGACAACCATAAGTTCAATTCCATGCCATTTAGTTGAAGAGAAGTGTGTGGGCAAACTCATGGGTTTTATGCAAAATTTTGATTCTGGGATATTTTAATTTGATATTTAATTATGAGTTAGTGCAACTGATTTTTCTTTTCAAATCAAGAAATCATTGCTTTAACTGGTTCTACTATAATCAACCAAAAATTTGTAATGGTCAATTTCAGGAGTCGAAAATGTTTTTGATATAGTAAACAGATTCCCTCACCTGTGGAAGTGTGAAACAGTGAATTCACTAAAAAAGCGATACAGAAGAAGCAATTCTGTTCAGAATTGAGAAAATGGACATAAGCAAAAGATGTAAAATATGGGGGGGGCACTATATTCTAAAGCAGTTTCCCAAAGTGTGTTCTGTAGAACACTGGAATCAGAAAGCTGTTTCGTGGGGTGGAGAGCCTATAGATAAATACGTTTGAGAGACGTGGCCCAGAATGCTCCCTTTCAGAGAGTCATATTACCATATTAAAGATCCTGAGAAATTCCACCATAAAAAATTCTGATAAACGCTGTTTAACCTAGTGTTTCCCAATTTTATTTGATTAAGGAACCCTGATATATGTGTGTTTGTGTGTGTATACACGTATATGTATTTTTTTAAATAACACTTATTAACATCTTGCAGCACTAGTGTCCTGCGGAACATACTTGAGAAAACATTGCTCAGAAGTCCATTCCAAATATACCAGAATTCATGTACACTGGTAGCATTCAAAGTAAGGATTTCTTTTCAAGAAAGGAAGAAAGATTCAGAGCTAAAGAAAGTAGCCCTTAATAAACACCTCTGGGAACCCAGTTTTTCCTTGGAGGAATGTAATGAGCTGCCTCTGGTTATTCTTCCTCGTTTTGGGTACACAGGGCTGGGAGAAGGTAGTGGGTCCAGCCCCGACCCTGCTTACATAGTGATGGATGAGGAGCGTTTCCAACTTTGACTGTCGGAATCATAAGCTATGGGGGTGCAAACCCCTCTGAATGACGGCTACTTCTGTACTAGAACTTAGATACAAATTCACAGCATAAAAGTAGCCAAACCTTTCCCAAGGCCATTGTTTCTGACAACAGTGCTGAATTAAACAGTCAGAATTGAAGATGAGTCAATTTTAGAAAATAAATATGTATTGACTTATAGTAAATAAATATTTACTTTACTTTCTATGCCTGTGACTGAGGAATAGAAAGAGATCCTACGGTATAAAACAGTTGTTGCTAAGGTTTGGAATTACAGCTGGCTTTTATTTCTTCAAGGGTGTTTGATTTGACTTATGGTAGGTACATTTATTACCACGTACTGTAAGTATCTTCTAAGGAAGATAACGTGCCACTTTGGCAAAAAAAAAAAATGTTTTTCTGAAAATTGCATTGGAAAATAGATATTGATAAATTTAAAAAATTGATGCATTGAAAAAACTAAAATTTCAAATACACTCTAGTGAATAGTGTTTACAAATCAGGAATCCTCTTATAATATGTAAATTAATAATTATTATTATGGATAACATTTATCGAGTGTGATTATGTAGTAGGGACTGTTCTAAGTGTTTAGCGTGTGTTAATTTATTTGGTCCTCACAACAGCTTCATACAGTATTCACTATTGTTATTGTCACCATTTCATATATGAGGAAGCTTTATTTTTAGTGATAATAAGATATGTATATATATATTCATGTATATTTATGTACATACACACATACACACACATGTAAGCTTTAAAAACTATATTATGAAATTTTATTTTATATATAAAGCTATATTATTCTATATTATATTATTAAATCTAGTATATATGTACATATGGCTATGTGTGTGTATTCCACCTAGACAGATAACTTCTATAATTCAGTTTCTATACCATGCTATTGGTGCCTAAGTGAGGCAAGTATAGAAACTATTTATGTCCCCTCTCCTCCTGATAACAAGGTGCAGAGTGGGAGTGGTACCTGGACTGATGACATATAATGGGTTTAAACTCATTGGAGAGCAAAATGGGGTCGGAGATTATTATCTTTTTGTTCGAAACAACAAATGAAGTCTCAGAAAATAAGGGAAGGAAAGGTGGTTTTGCGGTTTTGTAAAGATAGCAGCACTTTTCAAGGTTATTGGAGCTGATCGACATCAGACATGGGAGGGATGGGATGTTGTAGAGGGACAGTCAAGGATGAGCTAAGGGGCTGGGGCCAACCTGGACCTGAAGAACCAAGCACGCGTTCCTGTAACCTGACCTGAACTTAGTGGCACTCCATCATTTGGTTGGAGTTTCTTCACTGTTAAATTGGGATAACATGCTTTGTGTACTGCAAAGGATAATTGGAGGAATAAGTTTGCTATCAATTCACAGAATTTTGAAAAGCAAGATCGCTATACAAATGCAAGTCATTGTTTTGTGACTAATATCAACAATAGTTAGTATAAATGTTATCATTGGCTATGCAGGGCCAATTTAAGGCTTCCAGATCCAACTGCCTTACACTGACAGTGAGTATTATTTCTGATGACCATGCGATCATGTCCCTCTCTGAGAAGCTCTTATATACTAGTTTCTTCACCTTCATCACAGCCCTAGGAGGTAAGTAGCAGTATTCCATTTACTGATGAGGGAACCGAAACACAGAGAGACAAAACAATTTGCCCAAACATCCATGCTTACAGACATTCTGTATTGAAAAACAATGTGTGTAGCTGGTAAGTTAACAAACTATTCCATTTAGAAAAGTTCAGTTTAGAGTACAGAATGTCAGTTAGCAGTGTCTACCTAACACGTGATCTTTTAGCCCAACTCTCTATATAAGTCTGAAACTACCCAGACAAGGGTCAGAATAAGCAGTGTTTCTGTAACTACATATATGATATTAAGGATTCTAAGTCATGCAGGGACCCAGGAAAGAGGTTGTTGTCAGGGGAAGACTTGACATTAAGAAAGAGGATCCAGAATTCTTAAGGTCTATGGCCTTCCTCTTGCACAGTCCAAGGTCTCTGTGAAATATGAATCCTTGCATCAATACTTTTCTACAAGTTTGTCGTCATGTCTAGGCTCCTTCTCCTACTGCTTCCTCATGCTTCCCACCCAGTGATTTCCTCTCCTATGACAATCAATCTCATTTTGTAAGTCACTGATATTGGGATCAATTGTAAAGTATTTGCTGGGTACTTACTATTCTGGATAGTCATTGCAAGAGATTTGAGAAGTGTGATTCAACTCAACCAGCATTTACTGCGCTTTCACCATGTGCCAGGCACTGGCCTTGGTGCTGAGGATATTGACTAAAAAGGACACGATCCTTTTCCTTGGCAAGTTCAACCTAATATAAGACTTAGTTCTTTCATTCATTCATTCTGTCAAATTTATTGAACACTCGCTATCTGCTGGACATGTCAGTGGGGACACAGTGGTGGAGTCATTTTGGTCAAGTAACACCTGAGTGGTGAGACATGAAATAATGACACAATAATGTTCAGGTCTCTAATCCTTTAGCCATAATTCAGAAATCCAAAATCCCTGAAAATTGAAGGTTTTTTTCCTTTTGAGGAAGATTAACCCTAGCTAATTCTCCTCTTTTTGCTGAGGAAGATTGGCTCTGAGCTAACATCTGTGCCCATCTTCCTCTATTTTATATATGGGATGACTGCCACAGCTTGGCTTGATAAGCAGCGCATAGGTCCGTGCCCAGGATCAGAACCAGCAAACCCCGCGCCACCAAAGTGGAGCGTGCGAATTTAACCGCTATGCCACTGGGCCTGCCTCAATTGAAAATTGTTTTGTAACTCACCTAGTACCGGTTATAAGGCAAACTGGAGTGAGGCAATTTACAGC